GCTGCTGCTGCTGTTGATGCTGCTGCTGTTGATGCTGCTGCTGCTGCTGCTGCTGGCTGGAGGGGCACTTGGGAGCGCGGGCAGCTGCTGCTGCGCAAAACGAACGAAGAATTCGTCTGTCACAAAAAGGATGCAGCAGAGCAGCTGCGAGAAAAGTGTGGGGCCCAGCAGCAGCACCAAACGCCGGAAGGGGGGGGCCCCCAAAACAGAAATGGACTCATTTAGGGGGCCCCCCAGAGCTCCGTGCTGCTGCCACAGACCCGCCACCAGGGCGTTCTTAGCCACAGCTGTACGTACACCCCAACGCATGCACGCACACGCACACCTAGTGAGCAGCAGCAGCAGCAGCAGCAGCAGCGGCAGCAGCAGCGAGGCCGCCAATCCGCAGCAATGAGCAGCAGCCGCGTGAAAATAAATAAATAACATAAAAAGACAAGAATATTCTCAAGCTCAGGCAAGGGTGAAGTGCTGTCTGCTGCTGTTGCTGCTGCTGTTTTTGACGCTATTGCTGCAGCAGCAGCTCCAGGGCTTGCCTGCTCTGCTGCTTGCTGCTGCAGCACGGGGGAAGGGCAGCAGCTGCCGCACTGAGTCTCGGATGCATCTCTGCAGCGCAGCAGCAGCAGCGCCAGCCCCTACGCCGCTGCAGCAGCTGCCGTCTTGTCCTGCTGCTGCACCTCTGCAGCCACAGCAGCACCCCAAACAGTAGCAGCAGCTGCAGCAGCAGCAGCAAACAGGTTGCATGCACTTAGCTGCCTCTCTGCGTGGTCCTGCAGCAGCTTAGAGGGGCCCCTAGTGTACCCTTTAGGGCCCCAAAGGGGCCCCCACGGCACCCTAAGGGGCCCCAGAAAGGGCCCTTAGGGTTCTTCCCTAGGGGCCCCTAGGGGCCCCCAAAGGGGCCCCCCAGGGGCCCCCCAGGGGCCCCCCAGGGGCACCCTAGGGCCTCTGGGGGATGGCAGCTGCAGCTCTACCTGAGGTTAGCTAGTTTGCTGCTGCTGCAGGGACTTACTGTAGCGTGTGGGGCCCCACAACTGGCCTCTGCTGCTGCTGCTGCTGCTGCTGCCCCCGCTGCTGCCGCTGGCGGTG